AAAATGGCCGCCGGAACACAAAAAATGGCCGCCGGGACACCCAAAATGGCCACCAGAACACCAAAAATGGCCACCGGAACATCCAAGATGGCCGCCGGAACATGGGGGAACATCGGAGAACGGTGAGTTTAATGTGTTCCCCGTTCCACTTAACGATGTTTCCCCATAACGAAGGTTAATCCGGAACGGATTAACCTCGCTATGCAGGGCACCACTGTATATAGAAAGCAACCATTTAGAGAGCAAGCGGCTAACCTAGCCTTTTGCTTAGTGTGGCACTTTTCTATCGAGAGAGAGAACTCCTTCGTGTTAAGACCCACCCACCTTTTCAGGCCCTGGTCTGACGTGGGACCATCTAAACACAGCCGGCCACCACCGCCAAACAAATCTCAAGTCTGGCCCGTCAACTAGACACGATGCATATTATCTCATGTTTGCCTGATTCCCCTCAGCCTGCATCCATTTGTACGGCTTATTTTGTCTAAAACACTTTTTGGATTACCAATTTCTTGTTTTGTCACAGGCAGTTAACTATTTTTATTTATTTATTTATTTGTTTTATTTATTTATAGGCTGCCTTTCTCCTGATAAGGGGGCCCATAAGCAACTGCAATATTGTTGCTTATAAACTCCTCCGGTGCTGAAAATCTATGATCTAGAAGCAGTGATTTTGCTTCCAGGAACTTCTATTTATTTTGAACTGTCCCCTTAATTTTTTACAAAAATCCAGGCACACATACAGAGTTTCATTTTCAAAACACCCTCTCCCTTTCCATGTTGCCTCTGAGCTCAAAAGCATGCTGTATGATGATGCATGAGAGCAGTTGGAAAAGAGCCCTTCCCCAGAGTACAGGCATTCCCTCTGGCTGTTTTGTCCTCAATGTTTATTTTTGTTTACAAGTTGAAACAGCAGCCTCAATCAACATCCCCCCCCTTATTTTCAGAGGGAAAGTTAGGTGTGCGCATGGCTCCACCCCTGCAACTCCCCCCCCCGTGTGGGGGTTTGCCATGGCCAGAACCAAAGGGGCTGGAAACATTCACTGTGCGTGTGTGTGGGGGAGGGCGACGCAGCCCTGCAGCTAAGCGGGAACCTTGGTCTGAATGTTTTGTATGTGCAGACATGCACGGGCGTGTTTGAAAGTTTAGAGGAAACACACTAGACATAAGTTTTGTTTGCATTCACAATACAAGTATCTGATCAAATGTCATTATTTTGTGGACTAAGGTAATCCACTGGTGGCAGTGAAAGGAAAACACGAATGGAGCCTTTGTGAGGGCACAAAACATAGGTGCCTCAAAGAGGTAAACGTCACAATTGTGACGTTTGATCAGACACTTGTATGGTGAATGCAAACAAATGACATTTGATCAGGCACTTGTATGGTGAATGCATACAAAACTTATTTATTAAAGTGAAGTCAATTTAATAATTACAGGTTCTTCAGATGTACATAATATTCTCGCCATATAATTTCCGCCTTCTCTATCTATTTATCTCAACCAGTCTCTAACTCAATCTCTATCTCTTCTGCCTCTGACTCTGATTAACTCACTGACTCCCTCCTGACTGACTCTTGACTGACACACATGCACTGGATATTGTTTGTGGTTATGTGTTTTGGGGGCAGGAAGATTTGAAAGAGGACTGTAGGAAGAAAAACAACTGTCTTCAGGGAGGTGAAACATGCCATAGAAAATCTCCTGGGATTCTAGCTGGTGCTATTTTCTAAAGTTTTGCTGTTTTTCTAGGAATAATGTGCACTAATTAAAATATAGCTTTAGCACACAGAAGTTCTCTTCTGAATCAAACTGGATTTGATGCAAGATCAAGAGATAGTACTGGTATGAGGCACACATAAACCTAAGTAGGAAGCAGAGTCTATTATTTCATATGCGTTTCTCACCCCATGGAAGCAGTAAGATCCACTAAGGAACTCTTTTATGAGCTGATCATCTGTCAGTTTGGAAATGTGTGTTGTTCCAACTGTTAACAGTTGCGGGTTTCCAACGGCAACTGGCTTGTGGAAAGACGAAAATTTGTCTTCTTTTGCTGAATTAATTTCTTCCTGAAATTTAAAATATGCTCAAGTTCAGATGTGGCTGACATTTATTAACTGCAAGTACATTAAACCCAGAGTTTCAAAAGTAACTTTTAAAAGCAAACAAATTCCTGTTAGTTATTACAACGGTTGCCCCGTAAGCCAATGAATACTCATGAAAACTTTGGAAAAGTAACTCATTGTGTTACTTGCAGCTCTGCAGAACTGCTTTGTCAGTTATTTCCAGTGCTTTTTTTTTTAGGGGGGGGAAGCTCTTTGCAGTCTAAGAGACGGCAAAAATGGGCACCAATCAGCCTGTATTTTGAAGGCTCCATGTTCCATCTACAGACCAGGCTGGGAAAAAGTCCAGAAAGTCAAGAGTAGACAATATTGAGCTAGACGGACCAACAATCGGAATTGGTATAATGTAGCTTCCTATCTTCTTGGGGGTCTTGAGCTGCAACTGATACCACAAATTTTGCCTTATACAGTGGTGCCTTGTTTTACGATTGCCCTGCATTACGATGAAACTGCATTACGACAATCTTTTTGCGATCGCAAAACGATGGTCTGAATGGGGTTTTTCGCTTTGTGATGATCGGTTCCCTGCTTCGGGAACTGATTTTTCGCAAAACGATGATTTTCCTCCAGCTGATCGGCAGTTTCAAAATGGCTGCTGGGTAAATAAAATGGCTCGCCACTGTTTTCTGGGACGGATTCCTCGCTGCACAGGCACCAAAAATGGCTGCCCTATGGAGGAACTTCACTGGACGGTGAGTTTCCAGCCCACTGGAATGCATTAAACGGGTTATAATGCATTTCAATGAGCTTTTTATTTTTGCATTACGTTTTTGTTCTACAGCGATTTCGCTGGAAGGAATTAACGTTGTAATGCAATGCACCACTGTATACAGCAGCAACAACAACAGCAAAAATCATAACAGTTGCTGCAGTTTATTGTTATGAGTGCGTATTTCAGACACAGGTCATCAACATGGCATAAATGGGTTCCTACCTCCTTGGCTCTCCTGAAAGGCATCTTCAGCATTTCCTGTTGCTGCTCCAGCTGTAGCAGGTTCTGGGGTTTAAGTGGGGATCCTGGCAACGACTGGCAGAATATGTCATTCACAGGGGAAGCTCTAAACCTTTGCAAACAACATCAAACATTGATATACTGCTTTCTATTATTCAGCCACTGTTGAATATCCTTTGCAAACAAAATCAAATAATCATACAGTGGTGCCTTGCATTAAGACGTTAATTCATTCCAGCGAAATCGCTGTAGAACAAAAATATGATTTGCAAACAAAATCAAATGATACAGTGGTGCCTCGCATTACGACGTTAATTTGTTCCAGCGAAATCGCTGTAGAACGAAAATATGCTTTGCAAACAAAATCAAATAATGATACAGTGGTGCCTCGCATTACGACATTAATTCGTTCCAGCAAAATCGCTGTAGAACGAAAATGTTGTAATGCGAAAAGAAAAAACTCATTGAAACGCATTAAAACTCGTTTAATGCATGCCAAAGGACTGTAAACTCACAGTCCAGCAAAGATCCTCCATACGGCAGCCATTTTCGGTGCCTGTGCATTGAGGAATCAGTCCCAGAAAACAGTGGGGGGGCATTTTGTTTACCTGGTGGCCATTTTGAAACCGCCGATAAGCTGTTGGAAAATTGTCTTTTTGCGAAGAATCAGTTCCCGAAGCAGGGAACCGATCATCACAAAGCGAAATTCCCCCATATGAAACATTGTTTTGCGATCACAAAAAGTTCATCGTAATGCAGTTTCATCGTTAAACGGGACAATCGTAAAGTGAGGCACCACTGTATAATGCTTTTGTTAGTTCGCCACTGCTTGAGAAAAGTGATTTTTAAAAAAATATATATTTTTAATAACTTCTAGAATGCTTCTCCCAGCATGACCACCTTTCCAGTCTTTGATCATCATACTCAATATCACAGCTAAAGCTGGGAGAGACAGTGGTTTGACTATCTCCACATCAGTTAGCACAGGTAGGAAAAACAGCAAATAACTATATGAAAACATCAGAGCACAGAGATGATTTCAGGCATTGCAGATGAAAGGAGAGACACTGACAGAGCAATGGCACATTTCACCCTTGAACTTTTCTTTGAAGCAGCTTAAGCTCCAATGTGGAAGTTTTATGGGAAGAGCTGGCGAGAGGGAGCTTTTCAGAAAATAGGATGTGTACAGAACAACTAGAAGGCAATCCCCAGGCTGTGGCCTTTGACCAGAGGTAGGAATGTTAAAAATTCCCAAGCTGTTTTTGTGAAGTTAGTTGATGCTAGAATGCCTTACCGGTATTTAGGATGGCTGCATAACAGAGGAGTCAAAATGACGACTTCATATTCACACGTAGTGACTTCAGTCACGGAAAGGATTTCATGTTTTGCTTCGGGATGGCAAACGTACATCACTGAACTCGATCGGGGCAGGTTTTGTCTCAAGCTACATGGGGTGCCGTTTCCCATTTCCATAGCATAATACGGGGTCATCTGCCCTTCTATATTTTTGGTAGGGATCTAACAAAATAGTAAAATTAAAGAAAGAAAGAATAGAATTAGTTTGGGAACCAATTCATCTTCGCTTCTAGGCAAGCATTATTAAAAGTCCCTATTTGTTCGTTCAAAGTCATTACCTTCTGTTTGATGGGGTTCATTCTACTGTAACTCCAAAGGAAAATTACCTTGCAGAAAAGCTAATACATCTGAATAATGTTCTATCTTAGTGACACAAAGCACTAGAAAAAAGTTATCAGTCTCTTCCTTAAAATACAACTGCATCAATAAACACAATTCTGCATCTAACTCGGAAAGGAAAGATGAGTTTTAACAATCAAGAGACGGATGTGAATTACAAAATATGGTATGTCTTCTCACTTCCCACTTACCTCTTTCCCACTATCCTTTTCACTTTCCTTCTCTTCATGCTCTGGAAAATATTACGAGGGATAAAAATGAAGTATGGGCAGCCAATATCTCTACAGTGACTTCTGTATAGCAAACAGATAAATCTTCAGAAATAAAGATTATCCATCAACACTGCACTTTCAGTATAAAATCAGCATACAGTGAAAAATCTGACAAAATGTCCACAATCCAACTGAATATTTGTATCTCTGTAATGGCAATGGTGTAACTCACAGTAGCAAATTGCTGCTAAATAATTAGTCCTTGACTGAATTCCTGGTAGCACACAGTTGCATAAAAATTAGGAACTTTATCAGGGATTCATTGTTGAACAGCTATTTACCATTCCAAGTTTTACCATCACATTTACTCAGGTGTAAATATTCAATTGGATTTGGGCACAAATGCTAAGCTATATAATTACTTTAGATAAAAAAGATTCGTTAACTTTTATCTCTAACGAGGTTGGATGGGGCTGTATGCATCGTCCTTTCCTGAGCTGTATTCATCCTGCTAGGCTTCCTTGCAACTCACTGAGCAGGAGCACAAATGTACCAGGGGATCCCATGTTGCACAATGCATAAGCTTAGGAAGAACTACTCATCGCACAAATATACAGAAACACTCAGGTGCTTCATTCTGCTTTTTCAGTGAAAGTTATTTTGCAACGACTCTTTAATTGTTTAAAGCTGCTGTTTTAAATGTATTCTATCAGCCAGAATCCTATCAGCATCTGTGTAACATCTTTCATGGCTAACAGCAACTAATTTACAAAATGCTGGGGGTGCACCTTGGTGGTGTGCCTGGTCATGCTGCTGACTCTGCAGTTGAGATGCTCTCTGACACCATGTCAATTAGCCACAATAAGCTACAGCAAGTTCTGCAAACCTTTGTAAACCAATAAGATCCCAGCCATTGCTTCAATCATTTGCCTCTTCAGATATGCATACCAAACAAAGACCTGACTAATTTCCTGGTAGGGAAGGCAGTGCATGCATGCATTGCCAGCGGAACGACAATGCTATTCATAGGTTTGGGAAGATCAACTGAAGAGGGCTTTTATCTGTGAGGTCTCTTAAGAAGCTCAGTAAATAAAAATTCAATAGATCAAGTGCTTAATGACCGGATGCAAAGAAGACTTCAAAGCAGGCTGGTGTCTGGTGGACAGGTACATAAAACCGTCTTCACCCCAGCAGTCTGAGAGCTCTATATACATTTGGTGCTTGTATGAAAAGTCTCTCTGAAAGACTGTCATTTGCTAAAAGGAAAACACGCCAAGAGCTTGTAAAGTTACCAATACTGTTTTTGAAGCTGCCGTTTTGCTTCTGTATAATGAAAATATCCCTTAAGCTATCATTAAGTAACGGGCTTTCTGGAAGAAATCAAGCATCAAGTTCTGTATTGGCAACATGCGATAAAATAAAGGTCTTCAACACAGTTCAAATTTTTCTTCCAAAGGAAATGTTTTCAGTGGGAATCACAGCTGGAATATTTAAATGGCCACACTATTAAAACCAGGGCTGCTACCAGATACTTTATAAATACAAAAAAGAAGACAAAATGACCAACCTGGATCTAACAATATGCTTTTTCGTAGCATATTTCCAAGATAGTATTCTTGAATATTTATCTTCTACAAACAATAAGAAAGAAATCTCCATTATCTTTCATGACCTCCATTTCTGCTCGAAAGTATCTGTTTTTGTTTTGTCTCAGGAGACCAGAAGAGACCAAATGAACTTCAGGACAAAAACATCATCATCATCATTGTTTATTACACTTCTACCACATCTTTCCACTACTAGCTCAAGGAGGCTTACAGCCGACATCATAAAAACACTGACAGAAACAAAGAGTAAACTCAATGATATAACCTTTAAGAGTAAATAAAATCAAACGTGAAAATAAAAACCATTAAAAGCAATTAAATATGCAAATAGTTACAATGATCACAGTTCTAAGGGCAAGGGGTTTCCCCCTCTATGGCTCTTACAGTAGGTTTTGTAGTTGGTTCCTTATTTTGCCCTTGAGGAATAAATGCAACGCATACCTGACCCGTCTCCTTCTCTTCGTGATATTGGCGAACATGCTTGCCGTGGCAGACTTCGTAAGTCCAGTATGACTCAATCTAAAAAGACGTTGTGTTAATGAACATAGCACACGATGGTCAAGAGAAGATTTTTTTTAAAACAGCAAAGTTGCAGCCAAAGTTAAATTACAATCTTGGGAATCAATTATTTATTACAAATGAGGGTAGTAAATGTTTTGCTTATATTTGAGATCTCAAAACCTGTATATGAAACATAAGGTCACTGTTCCCTTATTTTAACAGTGACTGAGACCACTAGGGCTTAAATCCTGCTTAAGAAAACGGCCCAAAGGGGCAACTGGACAAGAGTTTTGGCTGTCTTGCTCACCATCCATCCGACATTTTACCCCCTAACTAGAGGACACAGGGGGACCATGACAGATGGCCAGTTTGCACAATGGCCTCTTTAGGCTGCATGATCTTTAAAGGAGTCTGGCTTACTTCGCTTTACTTTTATTAAATTTATACCCCGCCCCTCTAGACAAAGTCTACTCAGGGTTATGTATCTGTACTGGGTTACTGTCAAAGCCAACTATTGAAAAATCATCTTAGGACAATAGCCAATTTCGGGTTTGTCCAACTATTGCAAGCACAAAGGAGGTTTTTCAACTAGCCTTCTGTTTACTTCCATAGCATGGCAGGTCCGGAGATAATGCCTTGCTCTGAAGGCTTGCAAAGCCAAGCAGGTGTTCAGTGTTCAGTAAAAAAAATGCCATTGTCATCCCTACCACAACATATTGGCCCCAAGGAGCTCAGAAGACAGACATTATTTGAATAGTTGGGTGAGAAGTGGCTGTGTTATGGAGGTGGGAAGTGGTTCAAGGACCAAAGGGTGCTGCCGCCGCTGCTGCTCTCTATTCCATCATCCTCTGCTATGTGAATATTGATGTGTTGCATAGAAGGAGGACTTTAGGTGGCATTCGCCAGAACTGTGAACAGGATACCCACTGGAAAATGCTAACAAAACAGCAACTCTTTCTGTATGTTGCTGAGCCTTGATACCAGCTGCATTTTCAGCCATGGCTTTTCGATTTCAGAGCCTCTTAAAGAGGACGAACATGGGAAGGAATCTGTGGGACTAAAAGATCTTTGGAGGTCTTTGACAAGGTGAGTCTAATGAGAACAACTGGAGAATAAGGACTGGTAGGAAGCCAAAAATTCAAAACAGATGGAAACAAAAATGCAGAGAAAGTTCACAAGACATAAATACACACTTGTATATCATTTATCCATTTAACACCTTTTTGTCTCAGTTACTGATGTAGACATTGGGATCTGGGCCCTTCTGTCTGAAACCAAAGTGGACGTACTCTGTAAGAACAGCTGCTTTGTTTAAACAGGGGTTCCAGCAATTCTGTAGGGCTGGGTCCTTGGTAATCCTTTTCCTCCTCCTGAAACAAGAAGAATCCAATGTTAATTCTGCTGTGGAGAAACACCAGTATACTTCCCTACTTTACAAACAAGGCTAGCCCTTCCTTTCATGAAGCAGAGTGAGGTGCTCATCACAGGCAACAGATTTTCAATGGGTCAGAAAAGGGGAGCAAATTGATTTGGTGTTACCAGATCTTTGCTGCTGGGAACACGGAGATATACTTATGGGATGTTTTACCCTATGTATCAAATAATTTGAGTGCTACGCATCTGGTTGGGATAATGTGGGGATGTTATTGGCTGGGTTGCCTCTCATGGCAAAATGCCTCAGACCAGCCCTGCTTACAATGTGCATTGCTTTACTTTAATAGGTTTCCAACAAATCTCCTTACTGAAACGCAAAGTAAGATGAACTGAGAGAATACGTTTCCTGCAAATTCTTAGCTTTGTATTCATATATGAATAGTAAAAGGTAAAGGTTCCCCTTGACATTTAGTCCAGTCGTGTCCGACTGTAGGGCGTGGTGCTCATCCCCGTCTCCAAGCCGTAAAGCCAGCATTTGTCAATAGACAGTTTCCGTGGTCACGTGGCCAGCACGAGTAGACACGGAATGCCGTGACCTTCCCACTGAGGTGGTACCTATTTATCTACTCACATTTATATGCTTTTGAACTGCTAGGTTGGCAGGAGCTGGGACAAGCGACGGGAGCTCCCTCCGTTGCATGGATTCGATCTTACGACTGCTGGTCTTCTGACCCTGCAGCACAGAGGCTTCTGCGGTTTAGCCCGCAGCGCCACCACGTCCCTTCACGTATATGAATACCCCCCTCCTAATAAGAAGCTTACAAGTACAACATAAGGAAAAAAGCACCCTCTAGTTCATGGTTTCTAGCAATTGGTATCAAAAGTCATACTACATCCCTTGCCCAAGCTGCAGGACTCATCTTCCTCTCTCAAAAACAACATCCTTCTGAAATTGTGGAAATTTTGTACTGTAGAAAATTATATTGGACTGGCAAAAGCCCTTTCCATGGATTTAGGGAGTTCTTTCAGATATAGTATTCTTACTATTTGTATCTGGGCAATCCCTTCTCTCTCTGCCCGACATGTGCTACATACAAAACCATGTGCATGTGTGTATATACCAAGCTCTTTTCATTTATAAAATTTTGCTTAAGCAGCAGCACTCTCTGACCTAGCCTCATTTATTTTACAAGGTAGATAAAAAATAATGTTTTGTATGCTAATATACACAAAATAAACTTGAAAACATTAACTATAAACATGTCAATACAGTAATAGGTATTAAAAACTCAGCTATCCATGATAAAATACTGAAAAAAGATATTGGAAAAAGACACCAGTCTAAATCCAACACAACTCTAGCAGAATGAGAATTACTGCAAGTGGAAGTTTGCTGGCTTACACAGTTACGTGAACAGTTCAACCTCCTCCAAGACTGTAAGTTTTCTAAAACAACAACAAAAATGCAGTAGTATAACTGCAACAATGGATAATCATTACCATAATGGATTTTGTGCTAGTGCAAGGACATCATTCAGTACAGGACACCCCAAATTTAAGATAGATTTCATATTTCTACTGCAATACCTTTGCCATATGTTTTTGGCTTAGCACTATGACTAAACTGCCCAAGGATCTCTTGGCTCTGACCTTACTTCCAAAAGGATATGTTCAACGTTCAGATTGTCAAATTTGTCCCCCCAAAATTATAAAACTTGAAATTGCCACTGGACGTCATTCCCACTGTCATGTACCTGTTCTCCTTATGGCACAACCTGCAGCTACATTTTTTAAAAGGCTGCAGTTTTGGTGATGTTAACATTTTTATAAGCTCTAATTACAAAAACGCAGTTCACGTGCTACAGCAAGCTGCTGCTGTGAACTTATTACTTTAAAATTTTGAGTCTAAATCAAAAGGAACACACAACTTGCCTCATCTCCACCGGTTAATAATGGAAGAATGCATTTGTACTTTTCCTTATCTGCTGTTGTCATGATGATGTAATGATCTTCTTTGTACAAAACCCCAGCAGTCGGCTAAAAAAAGAAAAGAAAAATTAGCAAAGAATGGAAATACCTTGGATGTGAACATATACTGAAAACTAGACAGTGTTCCTAAATAAGAGCAAAAAAGCTCTGACAATGCATTGCTGGAAATGTATTTTTTTAAGTTGTTAAACCTGTTCCTTGTGCAGATGCAAACTTCACGCATTCTGGTTTGTGAGGATGGTGTACCTGCTCAAATGACTGCACCCATTTCACTCAACTCATCAGCTCATACATTCAGACATGTATGTTGGCATGGCTGGAGGGTGTTAAGGCCATAGCAAAGCAAGCTGCTTTACACACCATCTACCTGGAAATGCCAGGGTTGGTTTCTCTTCCCAGCAAAGTTTCCACTCTGCTGGTTTTCTCCCACCATCAACTTGTTCTCTCTACTGCCTTGTTTTTATACACACACTGCTGCAATTCCTGAGCATGGTAAGAAGCCAGAATTAACAAGGACACAAAAACATCTTTCCACAAACTTTACCCTGGATTTTTCTAATTCTTTGCTCTTAGGAAACAGAAATGTTTTTCCAACATTAAGAACAGGTAAGTTGACATTACAAAAGAATGTTTTGTATCAGCAACAAGAGGGTGACCAAACCATACAGTACTAGTTTTAGAAGAGGAAGCTGTGTTAGCCTGCGCAAGCATAAAAACAAACAAAACAATAAAAAAGACAAAAACATATGGCACTTTAAAGACCAACCATTATACTTTAATGTAAGCTTTGGTGGACACATCCACTTTTGTCAGATATTAAGAGACAGAATGTTTCTTTTATACTCCTGTTGTAGAAAATAATTCAGGAAGAGAAAACAGCCTCCTGTCTTCCTGAAGTATTTTTACAACAGGAAAAAATTATTCAGGAAGAGAAAACAGCCTTCTGTCATCCTCAAGTATTTTTTTACAACAGGACTGTAAAAGAAACACAGGCCTAATTGCTGCATGTAACCAATGAACACTTAGAATGTGAAACTGATATTTCCCCTACATTTCATTCCGTCTTTTAACGTCTGACAGAGTGGACCTGTTTTCACCAAAGCTTATATTAAAATATAATGGTTAGACTTTAAGAAGCCATGTGTTTTTGTCTTCCTCTTTTTCTTTTGTATTGTTTTCAAACAATACTACTAACAATTACTAGTGAATTGAAAAATACTGTTTAGCCTCGAAAATGTCTTTGGAAGCAATTTTCTCTTAGGATATGATTTGCATTTTCATCACCCTAGCCAACATTTCTTTCTGTAGCCCACCTCTTGCACTCAGAATATACCACCTATGGTTTACCATATTTCCTCCCCAGACAGGGAAACTGTTTGCTGGAAAGAAATGTGCATGCCACAGAGACAGGATTGATTCTCAGTTTGTACAGCCTTAGAATTTAACTAGTCATTTTTAGGAACAACAAAAAACTGTCTCCAGCACGCAGCTTGTTAGAACTAATGTACAGCCTACCCTATGTCACACCACCTGGCCACTTGCAGGTACCACATGGGTAGCTTTTCTGTGGATTCTTAAAATTTTGTGAAAGCCTGATTCAGTAACACATAACAGCATCACCTTTAGCATCAAGAAGCCTGAATAAGCACCTTGGCCAGAATCCTACTGGTGTTTGTATCATAGTTGGACTAGTTGCTGCTAATTATAGGTACCTTGGCAAGATGAAAAGATGCATCTTGATTGTGTACAGTAATGTGACAAATGACTAGGCACACAACTCTGACACACCTCAGTACCTTATTAATTAGCCATAGCAAGTTACACAGACCTTACAGAAACACCAATAGGGCCTTGTCTGTTAAGGGGAATAAACACAATCCTATAATTGTACACAAAGATAGCCACACCTGTGTCCAAATGAGGGGGGGAAATTTACTTCTTTATATTTCTTATAATACCAGGTGCAAAATAGGTTGAAAATAATCAGGATTAAGAAAAATGTCTTCTGGATCAGAAACTGAATTTCCCCCCAAACTATTTTTATTAAAAATTCTCACCTAGTTTTATTTTAAAATGCTGGAAGGAAAGTCAAAGGTTCCATGGACACCTCATCACATTCCACATCACCTTACTTTCCAACATCCTAAGTAAAATCTGTTTCTTTGGGAGACGAAGATGTCTTCTGTGTAAGTACATTTGTAAACCCCTTCTCTCTTCCTTCTTAGTGCCTGGAATTTACTACAGGATTCATTTAGTCTAAGGCCCATACTCTTTACTACACCCACATTGAAAGCCACAAGATAAGAGTGATCCTAATTATTTCAATGTACTAAAAAAATTCAAGATTGTGACATAACAGTGACTGGGTTTGAAGCAGAAGAAACACACAGGAGACACGGCACACAAAGCTTTCTAAATCCATATTTAAGCAGAATCTCCAGGTCCTATTGGATGTAATTGTTCCTAGAAATATTGTTTCGTTTAGTCGTGCCCATGTTTCATGACCCCATGGACCAGAGCACGCCAGGTCCTCCTGTTATCCACTGCCTCCCGGAGTTGTGTCAAAATCATGTTCGTTGCTTCGATGATACTGTCCAAGAAATATGAAGACCCAGAAACGTCCATGTGCACAATATCTTTCCACTTATAATTATTAAGGTCATACTCTTCCAAAGGGTCTGTATGTGTTGGATGATTGTGTGTTCTTTTAATTTTAGCCTGGAAGAGTTGTAACACTTATTGAAGACCTTGAGGTAGAGTGATTTGGACCATCTCCCTGAACTCTTGTCACCTCAGTGGTGTAACACAAAGGGATTTGGTGTGGTTTTGTCCAGTGGGAGGAATTGTATGCAGAATACATCATGCGAAAGGCCGGAATGGAGGAATCCCAAGCCAGAATTAAGATTGCCAGAAGAAATATCAATAACCTCCGATATGCAGATATTACCACTCTGATGGCAGAAAGTGAGAAGGAATTAAGGAACCTCGTCATGAGGGTGAAAGACGAGAGTGCAAAAAACGGTCTGAAGCTGAACATCAAAAAAACTAAGATCATGGCCACTGGTCCCATCACCTCCTGAGAAATAGAAGGGGAAGATATGGAGGCAGTGACAGATTTTACTTTCTTGAGCTCCATGATCATTGCAGATGGAGACAGCAGCCACGAAATAAAAAGATGCCTGCTTCTTGGGAGGAAAGCAATGACAAACCTC